AGATATATTGTCATTGTCATATATTACAAGAACGTTACCATCTTTCCCATCCCTGACTAATATCGAAAAAATCATCTTTCTTAATATGGGCTTTTATCATCCTGTATTAAACAAACCCATTTCAAATTATATACTTTATTATATACATGTACTATATATACTATATATACTATACTGGTCTCGGTGTTAACTAAGCGGGTACGGTCAAATACTGAATAAGGTATCCTGACGTACCGGGCTTAAATAATACATTCCCTGATGACAAGACTTGAAGTATTCCATCAAGTGTTGTAAAGTTCGTACTTGCCAGCTACGCAGAGAGTCCTGGTTTCTCCTTGGAGACGAAACCTGGGTTTTGCGCCCTTGGCCTTGACATGTTTGAAGGCTTCTCGGAGCTGTTGCTTCTTCTCCTGGATCGACAGGTAAGTGTTCACTGATTCTGACGCCTGACTTTAGCTCTAGACGGTAGGTACGGCGCAGAACAACTTCCCTCTCAGGCATTGAGTCGAATTTTACGATGATCGGATTACCATTTCATACGCTATATGCGGTGGACATTAACGAAGGAGAAATCAATTCTGGCATTCATGACACCCAGTTTGTCGACAAGAAAGTTGTAAGCTTCTTGTACCACAGCTTCCTCTGCCTTGAAAATGAAATACATCACCACATCAAAGTAAACGACAAAACAATATAGTATTAAAGCCCTGTCTTCATATAGGATCGGCCATCCACGTTCCGGCATGGCAACAGACATCTTTGCCCATTTTTCGGCATTTTGACCACTGTTAGGGGGCAACAAAATTTCTTGTTATTTTCCCCAAACTAGGCGAACATAAAGCGTATTGACTTGAAACTCGGAATTCATGATCGAGAAACATAATTCCGCACAGAACCTTAAAGGCGACACAGCTAGGACCTGTCCAGGGTAGATGATTATTAAAAAAAGCCAAACCGGGAATATATAAATAATACAAATTATGACATGACATCGCGTGTTTGGGGGGTGTATCTGCATTTCGCCCCCGAAATCGGTAGTAATTATATATAAGTTATATATACTGACAGTAAATAGAATCTCTGCTCTCCTGCTCTTTCACATGCATTTCCTGTCGGATCAAAACCAACAACACGTTAAAAATAAAAAGGCAATTCGCACTTATTTTCGGGTGGGATTTATCAGACCGTATTGGTAGGGGTTATAACGCCCCTAACGGCGTGATATACCCTTCGTTGGGCTGCCCTGGCTGTCTTGTACCAGCCAAACCAATACATAAAATAAATAAATACCCTTCGGGTGAGGTTATTGAAAGACTAACGAAAGGTCATTGGTTAGAAATTTTATAGGAGTAGTAAATGAAGCTTAGATACTCGTATTATGAATAACTTTAGATTAGGAAGACACATGGTATTAGATTCCAGCGACAACCTTTCATATATGGCGTGTCAGACTCGGCGTGTCAGCCCCCGAAATCATGGAACGAACTACTTTCTCTCGCGGAAGCGAGGCTGTTGTACGTACACGCATCTGTATTAGTGCGCGTGTTTGTTTGGTTAGTAACAAAGCATGACCTTTGACATCTATTGTCAGTATGTTAATTAGTGACGTCACCAAAGGTTATTATCCAGCGTGGGTTTAGACGTTCGGTCACGCGTGGGTGCAGCTCCGATAGAAATGTTCCACTTCATCGCTCCCCGAAGACACGCTGCAAGGTAACTGATTACGCTTCTCATCTGTTTCCTCTTCTAGTATGCTATGCTTAAGCTTTCTGCCTTTTTATGACCTTGCTAAATAGGTGTTTTTTATTTATTATTTGTTACTTTCAGGATTAATGTTTCGTAAGTTTCAAGGACATTGTACAAGTCTTACAGGCTTCTTTCCTCCTCCTGCACTCTGTTTATTTCTTTGTTTTGCATTTGTTGATTATTGTTTTTATTTGTGCAAAGGGATAAATGAAAACTGCAATATTTGAAGCTCCAAGTATTGATTGCAGCAAAAACGCTACGTTGTTGCCAAACTTTATATATCACACACCAGGAAGCACGAAATACGCTAGAGCTGAATGATACACCAGTTGTTTGACCATTTTCCTCCTTCAGTTTACTTGCAAGTGTGTAATATCTTATTCCCGAACTATCATAATTTGTTGTTGACTATAATAGTTTAATACTATTGACTAAGCACGAGATGCGTGCGCGCAATTCCGATCGTAAATGGCAGAAATTGCGCACGCACAACCAAGGCCCGGTTAGGCTCTACGCGCGCGCCAACACATTCCCCAGGCTTACCAGGCAAAGTGCGCGCACCGCCGCTAATGCGTGGCGCTATACGCGCGCGCGCAGACAAGGACCGATCTGGCAGGTTTCGCGTACCAACAAAATCCATAGTCGTACCAACAAACTGCGCGCAGCGCCGCTAGTGGGGGGCGTTATGCGCGCCCGCGCGCAGCGCCGCTACGGCGTGGCCACTTGCGCGCGCGCGCATGAGCGCGCGAAATCGACCAATATCGGGACCCCATTCCTACCTGCACAAAAGACAAAAGTAACTTTGCTCCAAACTGAAAACAAAGGCCCCCATTTCACATAAATTGCTCAATCAACTTATCCCTGGCTAGCCTTTGTCTCTTTGTCTCTAAATAGATCCGGAGTCGAGAAAGACAAGATGACAAAAGTGACAATAGAACATATTTTGTTGGTACATGTGAATCGATGTCTCACTTGCAAATTCCTCAGTCTAGTAGACACTTGCCAAACCTGCACAGTATCCCATCTCCTTCATTTATCATAAGAGGTTAAAAAAAGGATTTAAAGGTGCCCAATGTAGCTCTAGGGCTTAAAAAACAAATTTTCAAAGACACTTTTTACTCACTTATCTGCATTATGTGCATACTACATGTAGTAGTAAGTTGAAACAGTACCATCCCAATGTACTAGTATATAACTTGACATTCATGGAGCAAAAATGCGATTATTTGGCTGACCCTGGAAGCCGACAGCACAGCAAGGATTTATGATCTTGGTGACTGAAATCATGTGAAATGATAAATGTATTATGTTAGCCAGGAGGTTTAAATAGGAAAAAAAATCTCATGAGCCAAAGGTATACTGCTAGTTCTTGCCTTCCTGGCAAAAATTCAAAACAATCTGAGCAATTTGTGTTAAACAATGATGGTTGGTTATAATTGACGAGCTCTTTCAAAGGTGTTGCTTTTGTGACAAACTACAGCTGTCCTTTTTATTCAGGTGATATCAATGGTGCCGGCAGTTAATTTTGTCATGATAAATTATGCATCACACACTTTGTGATGTGCAGCCTGTAATTAGAATGTTAGTGTTAGACCTAGCCAGGATATGGAAAGTTCAGGGACAGCATTTTTTAATGAAAACTTTTACCCTGTCACTGCAAGGACATTCTACGAGGCTTTGGTCACTGACAGGTTTAATTCTGCCAAAGAGAGAAAAATGAAAGATACTACAGTTGTAGAAACTGCCAAAAAAAGGAACAGAATAACTCTCAAGAGAAACCTTTGCTTGGAGAGTACTGTATGAGTAAGTCCATGCAAGAACATTGTATGATGTTCTTGGTCCATGCTGTATTTTCATAGGATGATTTCACGGTAGAGGGAAAAGGAGATTATTGTAGAAACCAGGAAAATGAATTTTGAAAGCACCACACACATTTCAAGACTAGACGAAGGAAACAAACTCTTGGATACTAATCATAGTGAGGAGGGGCGTGAGTTCAGGATGGGGTATCACTCTTTCATGCGCGGACTGAACAGCTCATTTAGACTTTGGAGACCAGGATAGATTTACAGTAGCCTGAATGGTAATCAGTAGTTCTAAGGAGGATCAATTAAGGAGGCTGTGTGTCCTTGTTCCAACCATCAATGGTCATCAGTCAAAACCTACTTATCCTTCTTGTTCTTGGACAGACACTTGGGTAATAGATCAACTCTAATAGGATATTCCCCAGTGTATTTACCTTGAACAGACTGCCCAATGCTGTACAAGTGTGTGATGTCGCTATGATTCTGGTGAAACTCTAACACCTGGGTCAGCTGGGAGTAGTTGTGGTACTCGAAAGGGACAACATTCTGTCCCAAAATGTGTGGTAACCATGGCAACCACAGCACCAAAGGAAGTAGCAGCAGCCTGGCAGTCCTCCCTGGTTCGGACGTCATTGTTTTGAGGTGGACCCCCTGAGATCTCTTGCTGCCAGATTAAAATTCTTCCCTGTGAAAACACAAAGAATTGGACAAAAGAATGTTTAGAACAATGGAGGAAAGCTTCAAACCAAGTGACTATTCAAGAATTTTTAGATCATTGCTATGGTAATGGAAAGGTGATCTCCAAGTCCAAGCAAGTGTGGGGCACGAGCTTTGATGATAATCAGTTCTTCTAAAGATAAATAATATAAATGTCCTTGGTTCTTCTATCTCTAGACTTATTCTAATAACTTCCTTGTTCCATAAAGTCATGATTCCCACTGTCAAGTGCCATACTTCAAAACATACAAATGTATACTTCTAGCATTACTAGTATAAGCTGGTGTGTTACGCCATAGGGCGGTTATACCAATACAGGTACAGATACAGTATCTTCAACATCTGGCTAAACCATTGATCTCCACTAGTACTGCACTGACCTAATTTTTGTCATCAACAAAATTTTATATTTCCCTCCATAAGACCATATATAAGTTTTAGAGAGATGTAACATGTAATATAACTGTACCAGTAAGCACACCAGCAGCTGCAATCATCCTGGCAGCAGCTCATCTCCCAGTAGTTTGTTGGTGCTGCCAACTTTCCTCCACCCAAACCTTGGCCTTGGGACCCCCTACCACATCCACTTCCGGGTCCCGGTGCCTGGTTCACCCCAGTTGTGATGTGTCCGTGGTGCATGCCGGGTGTTTAGGACTACTGTGTCCCGTGGTGCGGGTAAGATCACGTGGTGCGGCCGGGCTATCCCAGCTGAAGCGCCGCCCGTGTCGAGCGCGTGGTGCGTCCGTGTGGAGCCGGTAGCTCGCACGGTAACAGGGCCGAACGGAGCCCGCAACATTCCTTCCTTCCCTTTGAGAACTTATGGAGAGAGTCTTGGCTAGCATGGAGCAGTGCTGAGTTGACGTGTGGTGGTGAGAGGCCACGCTGGGTGCCGAGAGAGTGGGCTCATGGCGGTTTGTCGTGGGCAGATGGCGGCGTTCCACGGGATGGGGCCCGGGGCCTCGGCGCCGCCTCAGCCGGCGTTTTTCCCCACGGCCGCGGCGGCTTCCGCTGCGCAGGGACATGGCCAGCCTCGAGGCCAGGCCGACGTCGAACCCGACCGGCCGATCGGATATGGAGCCTTTGGTGTGGTTTGGTAAGTTTTGCCCCGACTTCTGAGCTCAGCTTGAGCTCCAAATTTTGCCTCCGCCTTGCACCACCCCAAATTGTTACATGTCAGCTGAAGAATTCATGTTACAAATTTCGGGTAGCTCTTCGCAAGCTTCACGTACACCTCGCTATCAGATGATACCACGCAGATGTGTTTTACTGCACCGTACATTTGTGCATGCTAGACTAGAATCCGGATCCACGTCCCAGCTAGTATTTTCTTTGTTTGTATCGTCAATATGCAACTGGAAGTATGTAGCTTTTTTACGCTGGCCATTTAAATTCAAAACTTCGATGGTGGTGTGGCGAAGTAAACAGCAATGCGCATATATGCATTTTCTATGGCATAGACTTTTTTGCAGGCCTTTTCTAGCCCTTGTAGCTCCCAAAAACATGCCCAGACAGGGAAACGCTACATTTGCAAGGGAACATTGCTTGGTGGTGTGCATTTCCCTTTGTTCAGCAACGCCTATTGTTCCCCCTGGACCGTTCACTGGCCATGCGCTTTGTTGATGGTGTGAAAATATATTGCCCCCAACAAACTGAAAACCCGCGAAACTATCCCAGTTTTTCTCCAAACATTCATATTTTGTGTCACAAGACAGATCACACCTTGTTTGTGAAAGTTAAGAAGTGCTGAAGTATTTTTGTATGTTTTGCTGGCCCTTATGGCGGGATTGTTGGGGTTGGTCCCCGGCCTTTGCCCCCTTGTTGTCCAGGGGCAGCCCTAATGCCCAGCTTGGGCAGCCGGCATATTTCAGCACTTGGAGAGGGATCTCTGCAGCCATTTGCATTCATTTTCCTGCACGAGCAGCCTCCATGTCCTGTTAGGCCCAGCTGCCATGAAGTAAACCAGGGGACATTGGGGGGAAATCTGATGGGAACTGCACACAACAGCCATCAATTGTCCAATTTTGAATGGGATTAGATTATGCAGCAGCACAGCTGGGGGGGACTACTTATCACAATTTTCACAGGCTTGAGAAAAATGTTTGCACCACTTCGTGTACATTAGAAATTAAAATCAACCACATCTGTACAAGGTTCGTACCATATCTATTATGAAATAGATCTAGGTTCAACCCAGCCCTAAAAGGTAATGCATGGATGAAAGGTGGAAAAGGAAAAGGAAGTGAGCAGCTCATGAGCAAGGCTGTGTGGGAAAGTAGTTAGCTTGAAAATATGATTGTTTGATTCCTTGATTCTCCTGGTCAAGGTAGAGCTGGATTGAGACATCAACAATTACCTTTGGGAACATTCTCAGATCTCTGGAGTCTTTGTGTACAAACCTGGAAAAAATAACAGGCTGGAAGCAGCAACAAAATTATTTGAATGTGGAAGAGGAAATCATGAAGGTTGCCTATAATCAATAACATCCTTATGGAAAATTTCATAAAGCGAACAAAGCTTCCGGTACTTGTCTGAAGTTAAATACAGATTTCCTGACATTAGAACTATATAATAGAAGAATGAAGTTGTGGTCAGTGTGCGTTTTCAGAACTATGGCCTCCTACAGTGCAAGCCTTTCTTTCGTGTACCGGGGAAATGTTCTCCTGAAAGCCTGGTGTTGTAAAGTCTACTAAAGACCCAACGCTTGAGGGAATCCAGGCAGGCTTCACCATGATCCACATTTGGGAGAAATGTGTCCGTTTCCAGTCTGATTTTACGGCCGGATTTGTTTCATGGCCAGACTGGCCTTCAGACTTTTTGTGCTTCCAACAGTTGCGGAGGATTGGGTTTGTTTGCTGGACACACACAGAGGGTCACCAGCACACTTCCCGGGACGGTGTTCTGGTACATTGTCTGCGTCAAATATCTAGCAAAATGGTAACGTTTTAATGTTGTACACAGTTCTAGTCAAGGAGATGTAATTTCAACAGTAGATGATGTTTAACTTGCAGCCTCCCTCAAGGTTACATACATGCTTAATTTACCTCCAGACATGTCAGATTGGCTAGCCTGGCAGAGCTGTTTGATCATTTTACAGTGTGTGGTGCCTGTCTGTATGCCACACTTACGTCAAAACCCAACTCCCCAGTATGCAGTTATCAAACTGTTGGGATTGAATAGAATTAAGAAATTAAAAAAGCAATGTTTCGTTTCAGTAGCTTGAGCAACAGGACAACCAGGGCATGTTTGGCTAGCTTGCCCTAAACAAAAGCAGCGAGGATAATTATAGGCACAAAGGGTAGTCCTGACCCTGATGCCACACTGTTTGGTGAGTTATGGCAGCCCACAGGTCTGGTAGCTTCACAACTATTCCATGCATGCAAGGTCATGTCCACTTCTAGTATGTCCAGCCAGGCGTGGTTTTCATATCTTTTTTTAAAGCTTTTGTATGAAATGATGCAATATAACCATCATAAAATCTTCAAGGTTTGACATTGCCAACTTGAACATCTCTGAAATTAAGATGGAATTAATTACACCAATTAATTCTAATGTAGCTAGATCATGTTTATTTTCGGACAAAAAGTCTTTTTCCCAGATGGATGTAAGTGAACCTGCATATTTTTCAAGTGAAAAAATTGAGTGCAGATGTAATTGATTAGTTTTGGGGATTACGTTTGAATTTGGTCCTTTGATTGATTCATGTTGTCCCTCCTAGCTGTATACATTAATTTAGCAACATTGGCCTTGGATGCTGTGTAGTCTAATGACTCTAATTAATTTGGTTCTTTATGAATAAAGCTTCCTCATGTCAGCAATTTTTTTTCAATTCCAAAACAAACCAAATGCTGTTGCTCTAATCTCACTGGTCAAAGCAGTATGTCATTGATCCCTGCATGTTTTCATCTGACAAAGAGTGGGAGGGGGGTTGGTTGTAGAAAGAAAGGTTATCATTTTCATCTTGACATGTAACAGGTCCAGAACATTCTTCAATTTCTCATCTCTGGTCCATCACCTATGAGATACCATCAGTTTGACTGGTATTTTATTATGGCAGCATGTTGTAGCTAGACCAATTATGCAAAATGCAGAAAGGGTTACTCAGGCCTCGTTCATGATTGAAATGTGTTCCGGTTTGGCCACGATCCGAATCGAAACGGAATATATTTTTGGCCATTTTTGCGTCCGTGATTCAAAACTTGAACCCACACTGGAAACGGTTTCACACCTCGAATTGACTTGCATTTCATATGTATATCACAATTCCTTTGAATATTTCCTGAGAACCCGGCTCGTAAGGCGGAGAGTTTACGCCTGTCCGGGCGAGTGGTCGCTCGTTCCCGACTCATGTCCTCCCCATGGCATAGGCTGTGCCCCGGACGCATCTGGCGCAAACCCCCACGGTCCGCCGCCCCAACGTCCCCGTTGGGCTACCACTCGCCCTCATGCCCAGGGTAGGTTCTAGTACACACCATCCAGTTTCCTCTGGATCTCCTGATTTACCCAAGTCAATATCGGAATTCGAAGTCCCGTTTCCTCAGTCGACCAGTAATTAGAACTCGATGTCAAGATTGTACGATTCAAGTAGAATTTTCGGCAGTACAAGCCACTGCGCCGCAAACTATGACCGACCGTGGCCCCCACGTACCCGGGAGTACAGAGTCGAACCGGAACGATTCGCATCCGCGCGTTCATGATTACAATTCTACGAATGCGAATCGTATCGTATCGTTTCAGACCACCTCGCGAGGTGGTTCAGAATAAATCGCAACGGAACCGGTTTGGAGCGTTCATGTTCCTAAATGAATCGATTTATTTTTTTTAAATCGAATTGATTCGCAACAGATATCCAATCATGAACGGGGCCTTAGTTGGAGTTCATTTAAATTTTTTTAGTCCTCCAGCCCGGTCCAGGTTGGCTTGACTGGCATTATTTCTTTATTATATCTTTAATTTGAAAAAGAAGAGGATGGAAAACAGCAATCTTTTGCTCATCACTCCACATCTCTCAGTACTGCCTCAGTGTTCTGAAGACCTTACCTGTACATAATTTTTCTTCTTTTGATAAAAAAAAATGAACCAGCTTGAATAGCATTACATAGATTTGAATGCCTTCAAGAAAGTAAACAAAGGTCATTGAGGTTAAGGACATGTGCAGAAACCTTGGCCTTATTTAGGTACTTCTTCCTGTGAAGAAGCGACCCTGGAGCAGCAGCCTGGATAAAGGATAATCACATCGTGTTGATGTGAAGTAAAGGACACAGTAGGTAATGTACACAGAGAAGGAGGAGAAAATCCTTGGGCAAGTGTGGATTTGATCAATTTTGCATTTAACTTAAGATCAGTAGACAAGAGTCCTGGTTTAGACCAGGGTCAACACATAGCCATTAGCCTGGATACCAGACTGTTTCCAGGTCCTACAGAGGTCACCTCCTAGGACATATTGGCCCTGGAGGCAAGGAGTTTGCCTGTGTGTTACTGTATGCCCTGGAAACAGTCTGGCATCCAGGCTATGTAACCAAAGGAAGGTCATATCAGTTCATATTTCCTTGGATATGGTCAGACATTAAATGAGATGCAGGGAAAGCACCAAAGCAGAATTTGTTTACACATCATTGATTATAGACCAAAATAGTACACTGCAAATCTATATTAATGCTTTCTTGGAAACTGTGCGGCAGCCGTAACCGCTTTAAAAGTTATGAATCAATTACAGATTGCATATTTTGGGCAAATGATCAGTGGGTGAAGATGACCATCAGATTGGTGTAAGATCATTAATTTTTGAAGAGACTTAATTTCGCGGTAGAAGATCAGTGTCAACAGGGAGTAAATATTATCCATCACTGTCATAGACATAGTCATACGTGCACTAGCTATAGTATGTGAGCAAAGGCTATGAGCAATTTAAAAGTGGGCAAACATTTGACCGTACGTACAAAACTGTACTCATGCGAACGTATGAAAACTTTGTACGTCAAATCAGAGGACGCAAATTTTTTGCATGCAGGAAAAATTTTATCTAGACAGCCTCAAATGCTCAAGTGCATACACAGATTTCTTACCACCAGGTTTTTGCCCACGTGTAAATCGGGT